GGTTTGCTGTAGAATCCTAGGAGAGAAGGAGGCACCGTGTTTAATGGGCTCCCACCTCCCACATCATCCCCAGGGCTGGGCTGTGAGAGGGAGACGCCCCTGAGAGTCGACCGCCTTCCTGAGGACAGAGCCTGGGGCTGGGACCCCTAAGTGTCCTCTCACCTGTCACCACCAGCTCCAGGGGGTCACTGCGCTCTGACCAGCCCATAGGGCTATAATAGTGACAGCGAAATCTCCCTGCATGCTGCTCTGTGATGAATGGGATGGAGAATCTGGCCTTGTTCCTGGGCTCCAGTGGGTTCTGTGTGTCCCAGGGCTCTGGGATTCCCTCTTTATGCAGACGGTACTCCTGGGCCTCCGAGTTCCCCTGACACCAGATGGTCACGGGGCTCCCCCGGATGATCACAGAGCCTGGCTCAGCCCAGAGGGCGGGTTTGGGGAGGGGCCCTGGAAGAAATCAGAGGCTGCATCCCAAGACATCCCCACACTCAGATCCCAGCTCCCAGCCCCAGGACCCCCTGTCATCGCCATCAGTCACCCAGAACTGCGGTCTCCTCCCCCAGCTGCCCTAGTGTGGCCCCTGTCCCTAGTGAGGAGGAGGGACCTGGGACAGCTGGGGACACACTCACCTGCCTGCACGTGGGTCCTGGTGTCCAGACTCAGCCCTGGAAGAGAGTTCCCTGTGAGATTTGCCCCTGAAGCCTGAGCAGACCCTCCCTGCCCTGGTGCCTCCTGAGTTTTTGAGGTTTCCTGATGGACCAGGGCTTGTGTGTGGGGTGGGGTCCCTCCAAGACTCGGATCTCCCCCTCCCCATCTGGAAATCTCACCGAGGCAGAGCAGGGCTGTGAGGGCGGGGGTCATGGCGTCTGCTCCCAGCAACCCCGGGCTCTGCAGATGGATGAACCCTCGGTGCTGGCAGGACAGAGACACACACAGGGTGTGGCCGCTCGGAGGCTGGGTCCTTGTCATGGGGTTGTCTCATCCTCAGCCCACAGGAAGGGGAACCGCCCTCCCCCGGAGCCTGGCTCTCATTTCCCCAGGGCTGAGGTGGGGGTGGGCACCAGGCTCTCTGCAGACATTTCAGAGAGAAATGGGGTCTCCTTGTCCCTGGGTCACTGTCTGCCTGATTTATCTTTATCTCACTGAGGGCCGGGACACAGCAGCAAATAGACCCGGTGACT